AAATTGGAAAAAATGTAGTGCAGTTTGTACAAATGTTGTGTAAATCTTAGCATAATTCTTATATTAAAACCTTCTTTTATTATCGGAATAACTTCTTACATTCTTTTTCCATTAAGTACAAATGGAATCAAGTACTAAACAATTTTATTTCAACATTTATGCTTTACAATCATTCATTACAATAACTATAGACTATAAGTGTGAAGTGTGCATAATTTTTCTCTAAGTGTACACATGTATAAATACATGTGCAACTCGAACGATTGCGTGGCGCTGTCAGGGCCAAGGCGGCCGTCTTGTAAAAACGTGTTACGTATTCTTGGCTACCCCAATGGGGTTCTGATGAGATCTGAGATGCGAAAGAGAGTCGAGTGGCCAATTTGGAATGCAGGCAACGCAGTTGTCACGTTTTGCTCTGGCAAATGACGCCATTGGAGTGTATTTTGTTTTCGTTACTTGTTAATGTGGAACGAGCCGCAAGTGAATCGGATAGCATTCAATGGAATTCTTTGGCAATGCTGTTGTTTACTATGAACTATGTGGCATGCGGCATTTCATTCATAGAAACTCAACAAGACCGCAGTCACATGACTGGCGGGCCACCAGCAATTCGTAGAATCCCCCCACAGACTGATAAGGAAACTGTTTTTCAAGTTTAGAGCAAGAAACACAACATGATCAACAACGACAAAAATAACAAAACTGGAGTTGAATGAACCACAAACAAATCTAGCATATTTTGATTATTTTACTATTGCTAAACAAAATGAAATCGAAAACGTAAACTGAAATGAGTCGATGCAAAAATTGTCGGTCTATTCGCAATACCTCCAAGCTGGCAATGTCAAATGCTAGCCAAGTTTAATGACTTGTGTCTCTTGCCAAAAAATACTGTTTGACTGCTCTTGACACCCGCAACGGGGCAACAAAAAACAAAAAACAAAAAAGCCGTCAAAACAACAAAAACAATTACTTACTTCATGCACTGCGCTTGGCGCTGTTTGCTTATTGGTTTATTGAACTCGTTTTTTGACTTTTTGATTAGAGACGCTTAGAGGTTTTTTTGAGCTTATTTAAATCAATAGGAAATGCGAGTTGCTATTAAAGCACACTTATGGTTCATGGCTACAGCTTAGAACGCGCTCTTCTGGCTCTAGTTGTGTTTGAAGTTCTAGTTATTTCTTGTGATAATTGCCAAGCTAAACCAAACCATGCTCCAAAGAAAAAAACGGGTTCAAATTCATTACAGCAAAAAACCAAAAACCCGAAAAGTTAACAGCTGGCCGCCCCCAAGGTCACGGCTTTGTTATTGTTATTGTTATTGTTTTTAAACACACACACACATATATATATACAAATGTTTAAATATAGACGTGCTTGGCATAGACATAAGTTGGGTTGGGTTTTGTTTTTGACTTTGACATTCAACTGGCTGGCGGCAGTTCAAGTGGCACTTGAAGCGCTTTCCCCAAGGTCACACTACTTGGCCCGAGTACTAACCTAAGTCATTTTGTTCACCCAGTTACGGTTGGTAGTATTAAGTAGTTGATATTTACAGTCGTAAGTTTTGGACTGCGCCATAAAGCATGGGATATTTACACAGTATATCGCTCGAGCTGATAGGAGTTTTTTTGTTTTTTTATTTTCATTTCTTTTTTTTTTCTGTTGTATTTTTGTTTACTGAAAAACTTAAGCAAACACGTATCACCTTGTGCGGCACGTGACCAGCGACTAGTGACCAACGACCACCAAGCACAAGAATCGCGACACATTCCGCCACTTCCTCCACTCCACCCCCGAAAAACCGAACCCATTTTTCGGGGCAACCTGATCACAGTTGGCTATGGCGTCGTTATTTAACGCTTTAGTTTCTGTGGAATAGCAGCGACACCAGCAATATAAATACATACATATATTCAAGTATAAATTATTATATATATATATAGGAATGCATATCTTTCGAATCTGGCATCCGCTGTCAGCCGTGCGCCCTGTCCCGTTATCGTTTGCAATTTGATTTGCGTTGTTTTTCGAATTGGTTCTGCTCCCTTTTTTTATTTTTATACATTTTTTTATTTTGTTTTTTTTTGTTTTGTTTTTTTTTTTTGTGTTTTGTTTTATTTTTATTTTGCCGCATCCACTTACAAGTTGCAAAAATGCAGCGCAACGCAAAATATCCCACTTGCATATAATACACATTTTTATTAGCCTTTAAATATAGTAATTTATTTTTGGAAATAACAAAAAAAAAATACATAATAATAATAATAAAAATAATAATATGTATTGAAGAGAAAACAATAATAAAAAAAAAAACCCGTATAAATCACGTTTTTTGTCACGCGCAAACCGCCAAATTGCGGTTTGCAATCTTTTTTGGGCTTTGGAGCCATATTTTCTTCAAAATATGGCGCAGTTATCGGACGTGTGTGGTTTCGTTGGCTTTAAATGGGTTGCACTTGAAGATGATCCACTTGTGTGCTCAATGGATATATTTATAAACTTATAATCATTCTCAATAAAACGGTAATTCTTAGTGAGCTAATATCTATTGATATTTAAACAAAAGAAATTAAATGCGAGTTCTTTACTATTATAAATGCTAATCCCACTTATAAGAAAAATACGATGGTCAATTCTTTCGACTCTCATGCATATTTATAGCAATAAAAAAAGTTATGCTATTGATATTGAATAGTATATCTATATCTATATTCAATGATTCACTCTCAATTTTATTGCGCACGATTGCGGTTTTTGTGTGTTATTTTTGTCGTGATTCTTCGATCTGGAGTTGAAGTCATAGTAAAAATTTATTTAGAACTGAAATAAGCTGAGCTGCTTTCAACTGTGACGCATTGCCGATTTACAAGGACTGCCGTTTAGTGATTTTGATTTGCATATGACTAATGATGATGTGTACTCACTTTTTAATCTCATTATTTGAATGCCATTTTAAGGTTTATCTTGTTTCGTTTTTTTGGACTTTAGTCGGGCGCGCCTCTTTTATGGTCCCAAGGTCTTTTTACATAGTGCATATCTCAGAGAGGGTGACGAGTTTCCCATCACAACCTAACGATAACTGCAAGTGGGGCAAACAGCAGAATGTTGATAATATATTCATTCCAGTCCTTTCCTGCAGCTGAATCAACTCGAAGCTCTGCGTTTGATTCATGAGAAACAAGCCTCTTGTTTGAAATTTACTCATTCTAAAATGGTTTTGATGTTGTCAGCATGATTCAGCACTTCTGGACTAGGTGCTTTCTGTTTTTTTCCCAACACTGAATGCTGGTCAAGATTGCAGCAGACTTTCTGGAAACCTTTAGACTAATTGCAGGGTATTTAATTTGCACAGATTACGAGAAGTCGCTGACTCTTTTATAGAGCAACACTAAAGTTCATTTTGTGACTGTGCTCTGCAAGGCTGCCACTAATGGAATATTACAGTTTCTGTCCCTAATTGTTTTATAGCGCCTAAGACTCATATATATATATATATATATATAAATATTCTCGTGTATGATAAACTTGCGTGCTGTATGTATATCTAGCGATAGCTCACATCACCAGCTATATTTATTACGCGTTTGTGTGCATTATTGTGCAATTGTGATGTAAGACTTTTTAATAATAAAATAAATGGTAATTTTGATAACTTAACCAAATTAGAGCAGTGCCAAAATCAGTCATAGCTCGCCAAATAGACCTTGAATCGTATAATATAAGTATTTGCTTTGCAGACTATACATCATTATAATCCCCAACTATTTAGAATCACATGATAATTTGCCAGAAATTTGTGCTGAACTTTTCAAATTCTCCAAACGGGTAAAAATATGCTCATATTTCACAATGCTTTCAATGTGAACCAAACTAAAAAAGCAAAACAAAAATAAATAAATCAAAAGACATACTCGTATACAAATTTATGTGAGTGCATATTTGACATTTAAAACGCTGTCCGTTTATATTGCAAACTATTTCAAAATTTTAGTCAGTTTAGCGATAAGAATTGTGTGTACTTAGTAATTCTTGAGCGAGACAAAGAGAAACGGACATTCCACAGATATGCCCATGAAATCATCAAAAAGAACACTTTTTATCACACATACCGCTGAGGAGCCCAACCCACAAACTTTGATTTCGATTTCGCAAAGGCGACAATTTCACATGAATCTTTTGACACCTGTTGCTGGTTGCTGTTGTTGATGGTACCATGGTACCATGCTGTCTCAGCGATTTACAGACAGACCCCCCTTTCGTCAGGCTTTCACCTTTCCCATCGAAGTCGAAGAAGAATATGTTGTTGTTAGAGAGAAAAAAGGCAGTTTTGGGTATATTTAATTTTTTAGTATCATTTTTGATATTTTTATTCTTTTTTAGTATGTTGATTTTGTTGATTTTGTCAACAGTTTGTTGTTTTTTGTTTGTATTTTTTTTTCTTTTCTTTTCTTTTCTTTTTTTTTCAAATTCTTTTTCTTAGACGCTCATTATGTTCACTATATCACGTGGTCTTACAAATTAAATGTATATGTATGTATGTATGTATGTATGTATGTGTGTGTATATAAATATATACTTTCTTTAGAGTAAATAAAGAATAGAAAAAACCCTAAGCGGCTTAGCATATACATGTATACTATGTGAAAACTATATTTAAATGGAGAGAGAGAGATATGTATATATATATATATTAGGTATATACTATATAATTATAGTTAAGCGTTAAGTTTTTGTCAACAACAATAAATTGTTCGTCTGACTTTTAAACAAAAACAAAACGTTTTGCGCTTTGTGGAAGACTTTGAAGATTTCATTGCTGTTTCTCTGCTTGTCTAAGTGTGTGTGTGTGTGTAGTGTGTGTGTGTGTGTGTGTCAGTGTGTGTGTGTGTGTGTGTGTGTGTGTGTGTGTGTGTGTGTCAGTGTCAGTGTGTGTGTTTAGACCTTAGCAAGCTTCTCTTTAGAGCGTGAAATTCTAAAAACAAAATTCTAATACATGATTCATGAGGCAATTCAACACCAAGTACTTTTGGACTGAGGTAGTTTGGCGATATGCAGAATACCATTCTGAGCAATGAATTCACATTTAATAATAATAATAAATAAATTATAACAATTTTAGTATGTGTTGTGTGTGTGTGTGTGTGTGTGTGAAGATCTTCTTAATGAGTGTCAACAGCTCGCTAAGCGTTTTCCATATTGGGGAAAAGTTGCTCAGCGAATTGTGTACAAAACAAAAAAAAAGAAAGGAGTTTCGCATGCTCGGAACATCTCAAAGCAACATTTGCGTTATCCTGGCGAAATGTGATGAAATGTGTGTGTGTGTGTGTGATTGAGTGAGTGTTGTGTGTGTGTGTGAGTGTGTGTGTGTGTGTGTGTGCGACGCCCATCAGTCTTTAAAGCGGGGGGTGGGGGTGTGGGAGTGGTTGGTGGGGTTTGGAGTGGAGTGGAGTGGAGAGATTCAATGTGGAGCACCTGGCTCTCTTTACCAGGGCCGCCAGGGCTGCTCCTCCTCCTTGATCTGCTTCTTGATGACCAGCGACAGTGGCTGCTGTTCCAGCTGTGCGGGCACACGCTGAATAACCGACGGCTTCACATCCATGGGCTCGTACGAGGAGTTAGCGGGACTTGGTGGTGCATAGCTGTTGCTGCTGCTCGGCGCCGACTCGTAACCCGCCGATGAATGCGAACTGGCGGATCCGGTGCTGGCCGTCCGCTGTGGCATGGACACAAGCAGCGGTGACTGTTGATGGGCGGCGGCTGCGGCGGCGGCAGCGGCTGCTGCTGCTGCTGCGGCAAGCTGTTGTTGCTGGTGGTGCTGGAGCAGCTGTTGCTGCTGCTGTTGGGGCAAGCTCTGGGGCAGCACGAGCGCAATGCTGCCGTTGGGCAACTTGGTGGGTATCACCTGCATGCCATTGGGCAGAAAGTAACCGTTCGCATTCTGCTGGATCTGGCCAAAAAGATAGGGCGCCGTCGTCGTCGCTGATGTGATGTTGCTGCTGGAGCCATTTGTTGCTGCTGGCGGCTCCTGTTCCGGGGAGCTGGGCGGCGAGGGCAGCACCACCTGGGCGTGCAGTGATTGCGCCTGGGCGACAGCCTGTTGGCGCTGCTGATGATGCAGTTCGGTCTTGACGCCATTGATGCAGTTGCTCAGATACTGCAGCAGACGGCGACGCTGGGCTGGCTCGAGACCGGGAAAGCGGCTCACCTCATTGGCACAGTCGGCAAAGCCCGCCTTGAATTTGTTAATGATCTTGGGATCGGCTGCTTGCTGCATGGCGGCCTGTTGACGTTGCAGCTCCTGCAGATGCTTCACTGTCTTCTCCAGAATGTCGGCCTTCTCCAGCTTGGAATGGCGCGCCGGCTAAAAGTAGAAGGAAATAAAGAATACAAAGATTAGTTAAATGCTTATTGACAAGTTTGGTTTTCAGCGAAAATTGTTTATCTTTTTGGTTGGTTTCATTCCAGATACTTACGTCTTTTTTGGTCGCATCCAGAATCAGCGTCTTTAGCTCGTTCAAACAATTGTTAATACGTGCACGGCGACGTTTCTCCATAATAGGCTTATTCGACTGCAAGAGAAAAAGAGAAAGAATCGAAATTAGTCACACGATTTTTAGGCATTAGTTTTTTTTTTGGGAGGGGTTCAGTTTTTGACCTCATGCAGCGCCAAGTGACAACAATAAGAGCAACAAAAATAGAGGAATCAGCGTGTGGCTTTAATTGGACACGGGACACGGGACCCAACATTGTCAGCTCATCTGCTGGCTGGGGGCCAAAACGCGAAGACTCGGCGCGTGCTCTATTTATAATGCGCTCATGCATTTCGCAGTTGTGCGGGCCAAAAATAGTTTGGCGGTTATAAATTACGATAAGCAACGAGCCGATGCGTCCAAAAATAAATATATATCTTATATATATGTGTATATATATATATATATATATATAAACATAAGCAATACGCAGGTATTCTCTACGACACAAACAACAACAAGGTCGTCGTGGGAAATTCGAAGACGCAGAATAAAAAAAAAAAAGTGTCGCTTATTTTTTTTCGCAAATAACAAAATTGAAATTATTTTTGGTGCTGGCCAAATTTGGCGCAGTGCGACGACGACGACGCCCGCACTATGTACATATGAATGAAGTCACAGCAGCGAGCAAAGGCCAAAAACGGCCAAAACCACAGCCAAATAAATAAAGCTGTTGCCGATGCTGATGACCGACAATTGCAGGCGACCACGCGCCAAATGGAAGCCGCTCAAGTGGGCAGCACCAGCAGCAGCCACCATCACCACCACCACCATAACAACCAATTTTGGGTGGCACTCATGAATGGACTGTCTGTCTGTCCGTCTGTCTCTCTGTCTGCCGTCAGCTCCATGAATGAAGCCGCCAACGCCAGAGACGACGCCGCTTTCTGTGTTGGCGAGCCGACGGCTTTATTTTTTTTCTGTTTTTTTTTTTTTAATATGGTTATACTACATGTGGTGGCATGTGGGAGCCGACGATGAAATGTGGCCAAAAAGGAAATGCATTTGGGCAGCAGAATTGGCAAACTGTGTGTGGGACTCGAGAGTGTGTGTGTTTGTGTGTGTGTGGATAAAGTGGGAGTAGACAAACAGTCAACTTGTATTTGGACATTTATAAAACGCTTGTAATCGTGTCAACAAATTTCTTACGAAATATGCCCAAAATTAAGGCTCGTATTCTGAAGCTTATTAAAATTTTTAAATAATTAACAAGCAAAATAAAATTATTTAAATGTTTTAAAAAACATATTTAAAATTCACAGCGATTTAATCGAAAGTTTGCTGTTTGTCAATTTCCAATTTAACTTTTGGCGTTTATTTCTTATTCTTTTTGGTTTTTGATTTTTGTTTTTTTGTTTTGTTTTAACACTTACCCGACGATCGCTTTTGATGGGGGTCTCCTTGAGCTGGGTGGGCACCACAGCGGTGCCCAGAACATTGGGACTCATGTTTGAGGTGACGCCGGTAACCATTTCGATATCGGCGATATACTGTTTATGCAGTTTAAGACACAGTTTGATTCTTTTGTTCTTGGTTCTTATTTAATTTTGCTTTCACTGGCGGCAAATGTACAAATTTGCTGCGCACTTTTCTCAGTTTTTTTTTGCTTGTAGTTTTTTGGTTGCTCTGCTTTTATTTGTAGTGCTTGTAATGCAGTTTATTTTTGTTTAGTTTCCGTTTCAAGATCACTTCTTTTCACTTTCGCACAAACGCGACAACGAGAAACTACGTAAAAAATACGTTATGATATTTTTTGCTTGTAGAGAGTTGATTTGGTGTTTCTTCCGCTTATGTGGGAGAAGCAACCGCACGCTACGAGTTACGGCAAGCGAATGGCTGTCAGGTTCTGAGTGCAGCGCGATTAAACGTTTCCCGAAGTGTACGAAGCGAACGAGCGAGCGACGATCGTACGATGAATGCGAATGGGTCTCTGTGTGTGTGTGTGCGTGCTTGGTATCTTTGTGTGCGAGTATATGTATTTATCAAGCGACCACCTTATCGCTGGGCTTACGGCAGACGACTGACGATTGATCGACAGGTTTGTTGGCTAAATCGAAATCGCCGCAGCGAGTCGCGAGCAGCGCGAGCCACACGACCAGGCGGCGGCATATTCACACACACAAGCACGTTGCACACACACACACTGCATACATGCTTGTGCTTGTGTAGGTAGCAAACGACGCGTTTGCGTTGTCGGCTCTACCTGCGTTCGTATTGTTGTTGTTGCTGCTGCTGGTTTACCTAAGCCGCGGCCTTTGTCAGAGAGCAGAGAGCACTGTTACTCATACGCCCCCCGAACAGCTAAGCGAAAAAAATACAAAAAAAGCACCACTGCAAATTCTATCGGGCATTTCTTCCTTTTTGGAAACATCAAAACCCCAAGTGAGTTTGCTTGCGAGCGGGATTCACTCGCGAGATAGAGAGCGAGAGAGAGAGAGAGCGACAGCGCACAATCGTCACAGACGGATGCAGACAAAGATAGCGCTAGCGATAGTGAGAGCGAGAGCGAGAACTTTGCGCTGCGCTGATTCATACGGCCAACGCGACGACGTCGTCGACGTCCCATAGAAGGTGAAAATAGCAAACGGCAGCAGCTCACCCAGAGACTTAATGTTGATATGACGCCACCCCAGCGCCGACAGGTTCGTGTGGCTCTCTATGCATGTATGTGTGTCTGCCTGTATTTGTGTGTGTGTGTGTGTTATGATGTCGTGATCGGTGGGGTCGCTAAACAGTAAACAAGATCACAAGGTTGCTGTTGGGGCTGTGCGCACGCCAAGCGGAAGCGGGCTGCAGCGCAGCCATAACACCTGCGTCACCCACATTAAACAACGACAAAACCACAAAGAAATAGACAAATTATTTTGTACTTTTATTTCGACTTTGCACCAATGTAGCTATAACTGTAACTAAGCCGAAGAAGGTCAATTACAGTACACTAACATACATTTGCCTATGTGTGTGTGTGTGTTATAATCAATCGAACAGTTTTTTGGCAAGGCTGACTGGGCTGATTGGGCGATTTCACGTGCGAATGGCGACGCTTAGATTCGTTTTTATTGTGTCTACGTGCAACGCGGACTTTCACGTTTGAGTTATCAGCAGTTCAGCCTCGAAGGTTGTCGTTTTAATCACACCAATCAAGAAAATATTATTGTTTATTTTTTTACAGTCTCTCCTTTGACAAATCGAGTCGGGTTGAGTTATTTTGTTACAGTGGTCGCTCAGATATTATTGAAATATAATACAAATTAGAGTTTTTATACAGTGTATTTTGAATAAGCTTATGTATTATATGCTGTTATTAATCACCTTTCTAAAATACAAATACAAATAGTATTGCAATGATTCATTCATAATTTCATTAAAGAAAAATGGGACTCCCATAAATAATTTCGCAAACTATAGATTTCAATTCAAGTCACTGTACTATGAATGTGTTGTCAGTAGATGTGTATGTATTAGTAAGCGTAGCTTGCAAAAGCTTATCTCCTGTTGTTTCGCAATGTGTATGAAAGCTCTGAGATAAAAGCTCATAAATATTTAACATATTCTTAGCAATGCTGCATTACATATTATATATAAACACTTGAAGAGCTTTAGTTGCAAGATATTTTGCTGCTTGTGCATTTTGCTAAATGGGTCACAACACGCGGAATGTGTTCGAATATTGCATTTTGAATAATAAAAGTCACGAGTTTTATGGGTTTTGTTGTTTAGAAGGTTGCAACGTTGTGTGACACAGGGGCACAGGAGACCCCCGGCCAGAGTCCGACATAGTCGGGCAACACCTTCGCGTTCCAATTACAATTTGGCAGCCGATCAAAAGGCTGCCGCCCGCGGATTGCTGAGAAAGTCGACGTCGACATCGACGCCGACGCTGACTGCACTTGTGCATGCCAATTTAATTGCACACGAGCAGCGTTTACAACATGCTGCTTCTGGCCAAAAACAGCAAACTGGCAGCAAAGGTGTAGGATGTATTACACACACACACGCAGACATACACCCATACATACTTACAGTTGCCTGTCTAAAATAAACTCTGGCAAAAATTTATAGTCCACCCGAAAAAAAATAAGAAGCAGAAAAAAAAAAACACAAAAATGTGCGCATTGCTAATTGCGTCTAATTTTAAACCGAGAACCGAGCGCCAAAGCACAGTTACAGCAGCGACACCCACGCGCCAGACGCTGCCCTGCTGGCAAAAGCGCCGACGCAGCGCCGCCGCCGCAGCAGCCCCATGTAACTAAAAATAAAAGCGCGCCGTTGGCAATAAGAGAGAGAGCAAAACGAGAGCAGATGAGAGAGGCAGATGACAAACGATGAGATGAGCGAACTCTCCATGGTCGGCCATGCATAATACATATTTAGCTTTGGCAGTGCGCGCGTTCACGATTAAAATGCCATCAAAATCGCCAACGCAACGCGCGCATACTTAAAACGCGCGTGAAATGCACTAAACGCAATCGAGTATTGTTGTTCTTGCTGTTGTTGTTGTCATGCATTTAATAGTGCTGTACTTTTTGGCAATGTAACGAAACAATAAGCATGAGACAGGCACACTGACAGCCACACACAGAAATCTTTAGGCGAATTGATTTCGTCTTGTTATTGTTGTGCAAAGTATTTTATTACTCATTAACGTAACGACGCATTTTGGGCCAACGGGCCGTAGCCGCTGCCAACGGCGCCGCTGACGTCGCACAGAGATCAATTCTGGGGGTGGCGGCCGGGGGCAAGGGTGTGGGTGGGCTTGCTGCTTGTTTTTTGTGTTTGCGGCAGCAGCGTCAGCAAAAGAAAAAAAAACAATCGCAGACGCTCTAAATTTAGCCACAGGTAAAAGCTCAAAACAAACGGTTTCTGTTTTATTTTGGCAATTGCCTTCATTTTTTTTTTGTTGGGTGGGGTAGTGCAGCTTTATAAGGGCAACGCGGATCGCGTGATGCGGAAAACGACCGAAGGAGCAGGTAGAATGGAGACCGATGAATACCGTTAATTTAGACTCCCAAAAAAAACATGCATTTTTGGAATATAGCTCAATTAAAATGTAAAGAATGAGTCGCATTTAGTACTGATTAAGGCATCTTTTGGATCTCTCTTAATATAAATGCTCAAACTTCAAATAACGACATTTCTTTCATTCCATTCATTAATATATTGTTCTTTTTAAGAGCAGCTAAAACCCTTGATTGCAATTTTAATCTCTGTCTAATATTTTTTGAAGAATAGCTCAATTAAAAAAGTAAAGAATGAGTCGCATTTAGTACTGATTAAGACATCTTTTGGATTTCTCTGAATATTTATATAGAAAGAGATATTTATGCCCATTCTTTAGAGAGAGTGGCAAATCTATCTTTGCATCCATTCACTTATTATTCTTTTAAGGGGCAACTCAAATCCTTGACTGCCATTGTAATCTGAGTCTATCATCCTGCACGGATCCCCTCATTTTGCAGCTAAGTCTTTCCACATTGTCTAGCTTGACTTTTCGACTCTGTCTGCATTTTGCAACAAAGCAAGAAAGTCAATTCTTATAAAGTCAACTGTTTGGCGAGTATTTGGTAAATATAGCAAAAGGCAAGTTTCCAAATGCAAATTCCTTTCGCTGGAAACGAACCCCTTTCGCTGTGTTCCGCTTACCAGGCGGACGGAACAGTAGCTCCTGGGCCTTTAGCAGCAGATACGCCTACTGGCTATGTGGCGAAAGGATTTAGGCGCTGCTCTTGGTAACTGTGACTGGGATTAGTTGCGACCGCGTTAATTAAATCGCTTTGGACACGCTCTGATGGCGAAAGGGTTTGCGAAAGGATTAAGCCAAAAACGCCGGTGGCGGTCAGGTAAGCGGGTTTTCTATTAACAGAGGATGATCATGCACATCAAAGGGCTAAAACCACACACCCATAAAACTGACCGTGCAACAATGGCAAACGCGTGTACGCAGGACACACAGGACTCTTCACAGCCCGTTCATCTCAACTCGACCAGCAACTCTTCTGTTTATTGCACCCTTTACGCGAGCTGCTTTTTACCTAGCATGGCTGGCAAAGAATGCAGGCAAAGGATGCACGGACTATTGCACTTGGTTCTGCCCGTGACCGTGTTTGTTTATTTGCCATAAAAGGATTATGGGCGTGGGCAGGTAAAGGCTTCTGCTGCTGTAGGGTTAGACGACGACCGCACGCCCTAGAAGCAGTCGCAGCAGTTAACCCCTTGAAATGCTAGCAGTGATCTCTATATTCTGCTCCCTCTACCAACTCCCGATCTCTCTTTCTCCCTATATCTTCCCTATCTATCGTTTGCACGTTGACTTCTCAGTACTGGCGGTTTTTCTTCAGGCAATCTTCTCTCATCAAATTCACTAAAAAAGTCAACTTTGTGCTCATAAAAGACACAAAAACACAACTTAAAAAACCAATCATAGACACGTTCGTTGCGTGGAGTTGCGTAAAAAACGAACGCAGTTCCACGTAAATCGCCTTGTTGACAACAAATTGCATAAAAAATGATGTTCACTTACAGCATTTATGATTACGAGTTCGCTAAAAAAAAAAAAAAAAGAAAACAAGAGAAAAAATATCTGAAATGGGCTGAGAGTCTCGCGGGAACCCTCAAGGTGAGGGGTTGGGTTTGAGGCACAAACAAAAGCGCAACATGCAGAAGGATTTTATGGTTTTATTTAGGGTTATTTACGCTACGCTCGCCTCAATGCCAAATCAATTGGCGTGCAAACGTCAACTCGTCAGTGCTAACCAACACTCTCCCTCTCTCCCTATCTATCTGTCCCTTTCTCCATCTGTACTGTTTACCTGCGGCACGAAGGAGTAAACAACCCGAGGCGAAAGAGTTTTTACCTAGCGCATAAGACTCGCGCCGAAAGAGGTTTTGGTATCGGTTTGGCATCGTAGAGTTTAGAGTTTCCACGGATTAGCTGGCTTTCGGCTGGCTATCGGAGTTTGGTTTTATGAGCGT